AGATGTGTATAATAGACAGAAAGTGCTCAATACACACATAGAGCAATATAAATTTAATCAAAGACACTAGTTACAAACTTAACATTTTATTTTGCACTACAGACTCTTTCATGAGGGCTCTGAATCTGATTCAGAAGACTACTTGTTCTACAATATTTATTGAAGTTGGATTGTATTGAATGTCATTGTTGAAGCCTATACACAAATGGTTACATTATATATTGAACTATGCGGGATAACGACAATTATGTTTGTGATGATGATATTGATGACGACGATGATGATGGTGGTGGTGGTGGCAGCACGATGATGATGGTGGTGTTGATGTCATCATCATCATCATCATCATCATCATCATCATCATCATCATCATCATCATCATCATCATCACGATTATCCTCATCACACTTTTATAACCAATTTCGACAATTAGCAATATGTTTTATTTTTCTGTCAGGTTTTGTACACAAGGCATCTGTAAGTTTATTCCTACGGATCCTACAATAAGTCCTTTTCAGTATACATCACCAGATCACTCGCTTATTCTGGTAAATCGTAAAGTCTTTCAGGACCATTTGGATAAGCTTCGTTAACTTTACATTCACTGTCGTCTCTGATCTCAGTATACACGTGCACCATTTCCTCTTCTTGATATTGTTCATAAGCTGGATTGTTTCTACATTCATAATTATTTGGACGCTGTTTGGCATGCCTACTTGAGCTATGATTCACGTATAATGGCGTATTATTGCCTTGACCTTCAATAGTACCTGGATGCGTTTTTTCTCCTTTTGTGTTTTCGGTACATAATGGTTTACCGTTATCCAAACTGATATCGATAACGAATCCTAAAAATAAAGTTATAAAATGAAACGAAAATCGTATTTATTGAATTACGTATCTATACATTGAGTGCAAGCGGTTGGTGCAACGGTTGTAGCTCGGATTCGATCTTGAGATCGGGAGTTAAACCCTCGAGTGGCAACCACCCCTTCATTCCCGTAAATGTACAATAATTAAAACAGAAGCTTTAATAATATACTAACTGAGTTTATTATTCATTGTGATCTCTACTTTTAACACGGAACTAAGTAATGTTTAAATATTACCGGCATACACACCAGATTAAAATCAGGATTGCTGCTGCAACGAGTGACAATCCCGATCATAATCAAATCTGATAATTAATAAACATTACTTTTTCTTATTTATTTATAAAAGAAAAACCTAAGTAAGCTGCTCTCAGGCTGAAATCGTTGGTTTACAATGAAAAAAAGGAAACTGAACAGAAAAGACAATGAAGATAACATAAACAAATTGATAAACGTGACGATACGTCCTCATTTTTAAACATAAAATACAGGTCTACTCTAAATAGATCATAATACAATGTTTTTAAACAACTCATAACCGTGTTGGTGTAATGTTATAAGTGTATATAAAATATGTATTTGAATGAAAAGTAAATGTTGAATGTTAAAGTTGCCCCAACCTCTGAAAACAGGTAATATAATAATTGTATGTATGTTATATATAAATTATATATAATTATAGCATTACAATAGAAGTAGAGTTTATGTGTACCAGGAATTCAAAAAGTAATAATAATGTTATACCTTCCTCGTTCTACGAACCGAAAACTATATTTTGTCTTTCTCTTTAGTGTACAATAATTACAACAGAATCTTTAGGAATATAATAAATATGTTAATTATTAATCATGATCCCTACTTTTAACCCGGAACTAATTAATGTTTAACAAGTATTGGCATACACACCAGATTAAAATCAGGACTACAATTGCTGCAGCGAGTGACGCTGAAACAATCACGATCGTCATTAAATCTGAAAAGAAACAATCATTTGGACACGTGTTTATAAATTGAAAACATAATCTAATCCAATCTTTAATGAAAAAATGTATTTATTATAGTTGCCAAATGATTAATATTTTCTTGTATAATTTTAAACTTTATGCTCTATCAAACAATCACATTGTATATGTCAAATAAATGTGATATGCCCATATTTGGGTGTTACTGTATAATATGACATCATCATGTCCATAAACTGACATGTCACACAAATTCGTCAAGTAATATGTGATAGTGTGAACAGAGCCTTATTGAGTTAACATCTTTTAACATTTTTTTAAGCCTAGCACTTACCACTTCTTTCTTTGGCTTCATTAATTGCCGTGGTTGATATTATTGTAGGCCTAAGATAAGTGGAATTCAGCAGTATACGACTGGTAAATGACTGTATTGTTGTTCTACCAGCAGTAGTGGATAACTGCGTGGTTGCTGAGAAATGAAAAAGAGATTTATAAGAGTCGGACTCTGCGCAGCGTTATAATGTAATAGTGTTTGAAATGTGTCGGGCTTACGTGAGTATTGCGTGCACATTATGTATTTCTG